AAGTGAGAGCAATGGAGAAAGCAATGGTGTATGCCTATATATGCCGATTGCTGGGGAACATGAACAGGAGGAAGCTGTTAGCTCACATCCTGCTCATGTTTTCCATGGGCAGCTGAGTTAGCCACTCATGAGCTGAATGCTGGACTAGACTAGATGGATCTTTGCCTGATCCAACATGGATCTTCAGACATTCTTCTATCTGCATGATGAAACAGTGCAGCTGAACTAATGAGATACATTTACTGAAGGCAGGTTACTCAGTGGCTATCAGCTGGCCCTTTGTGCAGTGCCCCCATAGAGAGAAATCTCCAATCTCTGATTAGCCAATGCTCTGCTAGGTTGCTCCCAACAGGCTGCAAGAGCCATGGAGGAGAGTCCACTTTTCTGTCCACTTTTGTCATGCTTTTTTATTCTAGATGAGCCTCTGAGCCTCTGTAGTGGAGGTGGGGTGGCAGCAGGGCTGCGGGAGGGATGATTGTGGGGCTGGAACTAGAGAAGGTATAGGTTTCACCGCAATATGGCCTTTCTTCTCACCCTCTCTCCTCACCAACTGCAATGCCTGTGAAGCCTCTGAGTCTGCTTTTGCAACATCATAATGCAGCTGACATGGGGACAGGCTCAGATTTAAGAGTCCCCTCCAAGGTCATAGCTGTGTCTATAGCTTCAGGAGGTCATGGCTCCAAAGAATCCTTTGGTCTTTGGGACACAGTCCATAGGATTGTTCTCTAATTTATTAGAGGATGCATAAATGGTGCCAGGACTAAACCACAGGGAAGCCATGATGCTCAACCAAGGCTGGATATTGAAAATCCAGGGGTCTGACAACTTGAGCTGGGAGCAAATGAGTATCCAGACTGTGGTAGCCAGGTGAACAGGATGTCAGTAGCAAAAATGATCTCCATTTTATTCCTGTCATCATGGCATTGCTATGATTTAAGTGATCTAAAAATGAAAAACAGCACATGTTCAGAGTATACACATAGGTATTTTAAATCAGGGTGGGCAAACATTTTTACATGTAATATTGAAGCAGTTGTAAAGCATGGAATAGTGGCTGGGAAATGGGTGGAAAGAAAAACATTAGCTGCATGCTTTATAACTGAACAATACACAAAGATGGTTAAAGTCCCCCCACTCACATCTACCCACATAAAGCTGTTAAATCCAAGGTCTAAAATAACCCAGCTCCTGGCTGCATGGCTGAAGGAAAACCTTGGGACACAGGAAGCAGCCATTTACTGAGTCCCACATTCAGTTTACCTGGCCCATTAGCGGCAGCAGCATGTCAGAGTTGCAGCCAGTTGCAGCTTTTCTTGCCTTACCTGTAGATGCCAGGGATTGAGCTGCCACCTTGTTCATTTGTAGCTATGGCCTTCCTTTATCACCTCCATGGCATTCTTGCAGAGGCATAGAGGCCCTAGCTTTCCAGCATGACGTCCATGGGTACCAGTGCACTGGTGGATGCTGTTCTTAGCTCCTGTGAGGCCTTCCACATCTCCTAATTTTTATTGTATGCTCTAGACTTTTAAAATTACATTAAAAACTTGGGATGTTTCATAGTTTGTGATGCCAGATATCAACTCTATCAAATCAATTTCTGACAAAGCCAGTTGGAAAATATGCATGTTTCGTCTGGGGAAAATCTATTAGGGAAATATTTACAATTCCATATTAATGTTAACATCCCACCTTTTTCCTTTAAAAGGCAACTTACATAATCCTCTGAAAGTCACCCTGTGAGCCAGGTTAGCCAGAGCGTCAACGGGTCAATGCATGAGCTTCATGGCTGAGTGAGGACTAAAACCTGGTCCCCTGCATCCCAAACCAACCCACTAATCACCACACCAGACTGGCTCTCATGTTTTTGTTACTTTCTTATCTCTCTCTCTCTCTCTTTCTCTCTGCAGTGAACAGGAAATTGGGCTGGAAGAGAGTCAAGTATTTTGTGTGACATGATGCAACTTCATTTTATCTAACAGATAAAACCCTAAAAAAAGCCAAATCAAATCTCCAACAAAACTCATCCTGTTCTGGAATGATTAACAAATAGGTGCACTGTTCATGCAGAATCCAGTTATTTCTTCGCACACACCCAGATTTTTACACTCATCTTTGTGTGTATGGGCTGAATCAACTCGCCCACCAATTCCGTTATGTCCCACCGATTTTGTGATGCCCCACCAGTTCTGTGCACAAGCAAACCTTCTGTTCACACAACCCTTCTGTTTTTGAGTAGCACTTCCAGAGTAATACAAACTGAACAGAAATGTGTTTCTGAAAGGAGGCAGGTGAGAGGAGTTCACAGGAGGGAGCTCCATTAATTTACCTCCTTCCACAAATGAGTGGTTCTGCTCATTCGGGGCTTTTCCTAGGATGTGCTAAAACTCCTTTGTGTAAGCAGTGAGTTCTTCTGGCTGAACAGATTTGGTGGGATATGCTGCTTGTGGGAAGGGATTGGCAGGGTGGAAAGAAATCTGCTGGGCAGAAGAACCAGCAGGATTCTGTCCATCATCTGCAACTGCGTTTCCACTGAAATTAATGGGTTTGCTTTTGTAATCCCTATGATTTTCTCACTGTATTGATTAATTTCAAGAGGAACTAAGTCAAACTAAATATCCATAACTCTATCTGTGTAGATAGCTAACCAGGTTATAGTAGACCAGGGCAGATTAAAGGTAGGGAAACGATTATCATTTGATAGCTGCTTAAAACTGAAAAACAAAACACCCCACACCCCTTTTGAAAGCATTCCAAAAGGGCCATGGGAGAGGAAGTCTGCTTCTCTTTATAAGCACCAGTCAATAGGCATTTCCACCAGGCCCACTAAAATGTACTCACATCTACTGCAACGTCTGTTCTGATGCACTGGTCAGCACTTCTGGTGGATATTTCTGGCTTTCCCAGGATATGGTGTGAAACACTATAAACACTGTCTTAGAGTACAACCTTACACTTTTTGGATAGAAAAATTATCCTATAAATCACAGCATTCCTACAGGCTTATAGCTGTGCATAGTACAATTGTTGTGAACTGCCCAGAGAGCTTTCATTATTGGGCAGAGCAGAAATTAAATACAATTCTCTGAAGTCATGATTGGAAATACATCCTTTGAAGAATTGGAGGTCCTATGGCTAGGGTGGCCATATGCCATCTTTCACAGAGAACAGTCCTCTGTTTGAAGGTCTGCCCAGTCCAATTCTGGGCTAAAGACAAAGACCCACAAGAATGATTTGCCATCAGTCATTAGCTCCTGAACAGGGAACATTATAACAATGTCTAAATTTGCATTGGTGCATATAATTTTCCATATATCAATATCATGCAAAGTCATGTCTTTTTTTATGCTATCAATAATTAGGTAAAACACCTCTTGTTGAGATCCTTCTCCCTCTGCAATGATCATTAATTCATCAAAGCTCTGTCATGAGAACAGGGAATCTGCAACACTTTTTCCAAGAAGATGTTTCAGTTCACAGCTTTTAGGAACTGGCCTCAATAACGAAGTTTGAAAAGAGTTTTGCTTCATGTCTGCAACATTTGTTAATAGAATGTGACACAGAATTTGTCCTTGGGAGATAAGATATTGGGTCACAGTTAACACCATGAAGGTTTGGTGGGTTGATGCATGGATGGAAGACTGCATAGCCCCACGCCAGCCTTTTGTGTTAATCAAGGTGCATGCAAAGAGAATAACATATGCAAACTTGTGCGAAATGCCTCATCTGGCCAAAATTCAAGGCAATGCACCAGATCCATGGTCACAGTTAGGCTAACTGGAACAGTTGTTTCTTAAGTAGTGACAGTCTCCCTTGTTTAAAAAGGAGGACACTGGACTGCAAAGAGGACTGCAGGAGGAAAATTGCCATCATGAACGCTTCATGTGTGCACAGTATTATTTGTGCATGTGCATGGAAGCTCACTGGCTCAGTGCCCAGGCATTTGAAACCTTGAAACCTTGTATATGTGGGTGGGGGTAGGATCATTTAGTTGCTTGCATCCTCCATACTATGAATGCAAAGCACTTTTTCAGTCTTGTATCAACATGCAAATAAATAATCTGTGAATGGCATTTCCCTAGGAATTGTTTGACATCTTTTGATTTAATCCTATCTCTGGAATAGAATAATGGCCCTGTGCTTTGAGAAAAGAAATGCTCTTGCTCTAAGGATAATCTCTGCTGTGTTAACAAGCACCCCCTGCTCCATTTAACTGGAATCACAACCTATGCTCTGATGTAGCATTTCCTAAGAGAGTCACACGGCCACATACCCATTATACGATAGCAGATACTTTCCATGTGCAGTGGTCTGTATGTTAATGTTTACTGGGGGTGGGGTGGGGGTGAATTACAACAAACTTGGAGCCCGTAAGTACATATTAATAGTTCAGTCTGAACATAGGCAGTCTATTAAGGTGGACTGCTCGACTTGTTAAACTTTGTCAACGGCGCTTAGCAGTTTTGTGTGCAGACGGGGCTGAGCAGGCGTGCATGTTTGAGGTCATGCTTTAAGCCAAGTGTAAGATGATCCCTCTTTGCTGAACCCGTCAGGCATCCTCTAGGCACAGGGACACACTCGCACACACATTCCTATCAAGTCATCTTGTGAAAGGCTGCCGGCTTCCAACTTGGCTTGAATGTACAACCTTAATAAAACACGCCGAGGTCTCTGAGAAATAGCAGTTCAGCTGCAGCTAGGGTAGGAGAAGGAGACCCGGGCTATGCCTGAGCAGCTGACTAAAAGAGGCTACATGCTGAAGTGTAACAGAGAGGAAGCGATAAATCTCAGCTACTATGCAATAAATTGCTTCAACTTCAGCTAAGGAAGCAATCAGATCTCGTGAAATAGTAATTTTTGGCTTTTTTGTTTTCAAAGTCACAGTTCCTCTCTGCATCTTCTTTTCTCTTCCTTCTCATTCCCAAAGACAAAACAAACACTAAAAAAGATCAGAAGGAAAGAAGGCAGGGTGGGAGGGCGGAAGGGAGGGAGGGAGAGGGGTGGGTAAAAGTGTCTCTCAAGAGCAGGAAAGAAGAGGGCTAGTAACATGACAGTTTTCCTTGGGTTTGCTTTCCTTGCTGCTCTCCTGACTCACATAGGCTGCAGTAATCAGCGTCGGGGTCCAGAGTCCAATGCAAGAAGGTACAACCGGATTCAGCATGGGCAGTGCTTCTACACATTCATCCTTCCAGAACAGGATGGGAACTGTCGTGAAAGCACCACTGACCAATACAACACCAACGCTCTCCAAAGGGATGCTCCCCACATGGAACAGGAATTCTCTCCCCAGAAACTTCAGCGCCTGGAGCATGTAATGGAAAATTACACTCAGTGGCTGCAGAAGGTAAGTGGCCCATCTTTCATCTTCTCACACACCTTGGTCCATTTTTAATTCACAACACTGTTGCAGTGATAGTGTGGTCTTCATGGCAAGATAAAGTGAGAACAAAGCTTTAAGCATCTGCCTGGAAGATATACTTTTTTCAGACTTCCCAGGAAAAATGCGTGTGTATCCTGTACTAGTAGTTACAAGTGCACATGCTGGAGGGCTGACAGTAAAAGCAAGTTCTGCGCATGTTTTAAGAATTATCTGAATGCTCTTTGGAATAAGTATTGTCATTTGTCTGGGCAACAGGTTTAATGTCATGCATCTATTTAGTTATTTGGAAAATAGTGTTTGTTTTGTTTTTAATTACAACTGAAACAGTTTGCATTTGAAATCAAGCACCATGGGTTTTCTATGTCCATGGTCACTGGAAGAAAAGTTGACGTTACACCGGTTCAGCAATGAATGAGTTAAGAATAGTTAATTGTTCGGTTTATTGCCCTGCATGGATAAAGTGGTTGGATTCTTCCAGCTGTTTTTGGTTCCATTAAGCAAAGGCTGACAGAGGTTCACAATGTTACATGTGCACTTAGTCAGATTGGCTCTGCTGGAAGTCCTTGCTAAAATATGTGTGCATAAATCTTTGTAGAATTGTGGCTAGGTAAGGGGAAACATTTTCCCGGACAGCTGATAATTGTCATTTTAAAAGCAGGTTGTGCACGAAATCCAACATACCATTGCACTCCCTAACAAGCGGTTTCGAGTCATTTTGGCAGTTCCAAAGGTGCCTCAGTGGTCATTGCACATATAATCCATTCATTATCCATTCTAAGAGGTCCCTAAAGTGCTGCAGTATATTATTACACCAGAAACACCATTAGGGCTGAATGATAAAATAAGCCACATACATTTCAATCCTGTGCTTGTTTACCCAGGTGTAAGTCCCATTGTACTCAACAGGATTCACTCCCATGTAAGACTCCCATGTAACCTTATTCCAAAGGCTGCATAAAATTGCACCCTTGGGCTGGGATTAATATTGGAACCCTAGCGTTGGAAGGGATTTTGGAGGTCATCTAGTCCAGTCCCCTGATTAAGACCTTTCTTTTCACCCAGGGATTTAAAACTTAAGCTTTCAGCTTTAGAACCTGTGTTTAATTTTGGAGTGGATTTTGTTTTTGCTATGTTGCTGCACTTTTTAAAATGCAACTTTTGATTTTATGGTAAGCAGCCCAGAGAACTTTGTGCTGTGGGTGCCATAAAATGCTGTGAATAAATAAATTAAAGAGAATTACAGCATCCCTAAAAGATGGTCATCCAATCTCTGCTTAAAGCTCTCCAGGAGAGGAGAGCCCATAACCTCCTAAGGCAACCTGTTTCACTGTCACATAGCTATTACCATTTCTCTTTATGGTAACGAAGTATGAGCACTTGCAGTTTCCACCTGTTGCTTCCAGTCCTGCCCTCAGGAGCAACAGAGAAAATGTCTATTCCACATTGTTTGCATGGAAGCCCTTCAGATATTTGAACACTGCTAAGACAGGTGGTGTGATATACTGGGAGTCGGGAGACCCAAGTTCTACTTCACATTCAGCCAAAAGCTGGTTCTCACTCTAACCTGACAGGATAAGGATAAAAATGAAGAGAAAGAGAAGAATCATGTATACCACCTTTAGCTCCTCAGGAAAAAGGCAGGACAGAAATGTCACAAGTCAATAAACTGAACGGAGCTTATTTCTGACTAGACATGTAAATGACGCTACCACAAGCGTTTTATTGTTAACCTCTGTATCATGCACAGTCATTTGTTTTCAATGACAAGTTGAAACCTGAAGAATAAGGCAGAAGGAAATCAAGTGGCTTTTCATTCTTTGGTGTGCTGAATTCCTTTTGCTTTCTGCATGAAACAGCAAAAAGTAAATTATGTTTATTCAGAAGTGAGTGCCACTATATTTGGTGAGTTATTCCCAGGTTGGCATGTGCAAGCTGGCAATCTGAAGCTGCACAAATAAATTGAACAAGAGGATACTTTCAAGTAATGGGGGAGATCCCTTTACTCCATTGTGAGATAATTGTTCATTCTTTGGAGTATCGGTTTGAGCTTTTAAAAGTGAGCCTTTGCATGCAGGAGAGAAATTTTATTTTCAGGGATTGCTGTTGTTTTTCTTTTCCATTTTTCTTTTTGTCATCCTTTCGAAAAGAGCTGCTCTGCTAAATTGCATCAAGGAGACCATTCCATGTTCTATATTTGACCACTAGGGACTGAGCTAAGCCCACAGTTCTGCTTACAAACTGTGCAAAATGAAAAACGAGCCTCTGGTGTTGCAGGGTGGGTGGTGTTCAGATTTGCAGTTGACCCTCTCGTTTTAAGAAAAGATGATATGATGAAAAGTTAGCTAGTGGCTGAGCAGTATCTTCAAGACTTGCATTCTTCACCAGCATTCTGCATTTGGAACTAGGTGAAAGGTTTCCCACCATGGCCTTTAAAAGTAGCAATTGAGCAAAGATCGCAGCTCTTTCTGTGCCAGCTTTCCATAGAGTAAAGGAACCCGCTTCTGTGTGGGTGTTGGTGGTGGGGGGAATAAATTACGCCTATTGAAGTGTTTAACTACATTATAACATCACTGCACAACCCATTTGCTGTGTTGCTGCTGTCGGTTTAGGTCATTCCAGCAGGGATTTCTCCATCCAATGAATGTGCAACAGTTAATTGCAAATAATGTATTACAGAGAGTATTTAAAGTGCCAAAGCTCAGGTTTATGTCATCTAATGCCTTTTTTTTTAAACCATCAGTTTCAATATGATATTTGAGCAAAATATAGCTTAAGACGACGTAAATGTAAAATATGTCTAGTCCTCTGGATATTTGTCAAGTATATCATTATATCTTTAAAACGCTCTCTCTCTCTCGCTCTCTCTCTGTCACACACACACACACACACACACACACACACAATGTTTGTGCTTATGTAGGGTCTTGAACTTTTGCTACAATATATCAAATTCATTAAAACTATTTAGTGTTAGAATAAATCAAAATATATGATTTCTATTAGAACATATCCCAAACGCTGTCTGGTGGCATAAAAAGAAACTGAAGTATGCTTTTTTTAAGTAGAACGTTGACATTGTGAGGTTCTTATTTTAGCTAATCTAGAAGAAATGCAGTCTGATGATTTTTTGCGAGATTTTGGAAAATAAAATAAATATTTAAAAACCAATCTTTCAATAAACCGTCATTTGAAATTGAACTGAAGATTTCCTTGTCTGACCAAAAGAAATGATATTTTGGCATCGTTCAATGACAATTGCATATTCATTGCTGGTGTGGATGTGATTGATTGGGAAAGGACCCAATCGACCGTGATGGGTTACTTTGGCCAAATCTACAAGGAGATGATGGTTTGGTAAACATATTTACAGCTTTTGCTAGAAGTATTTCTCTTAACAAGGATATCTTGCTTCATTGTTCAACCCTGTGTTTCATATCTGCCAGGTTTGTTCCAACAGTGTAATAATTGGCTGTCATGAGCTATTGAAATACTTAACTTGTAATTTCAATATTTAAACATCATCAAAGAATAGTTGTCTGACATTTTTAGCTTGAAAACTATATAGGACTCTTTTCCTATGATAAAATAACCCAAATGTTTGATACCAATAGAAGTACAAATAATTTCACAATGGTGCAGGTGTGTGTATGGAATCTATCTAGTCCTTTTTGTACACTGTCCTTAAGATAATTCTAGGTGAGAACCTTGAGTCATCTAAGCTAGTCTTGCCAACACTGACTGGCAACATCTCTCCAGGGTTTCAGGCAGGCATTATTCTAGTCCTATGTGGAGAGGCCAAGATAGAACCTGGGGCCATTTAAATGCACAGCTTGTGCTCTCCCACTAAGCTGCAACCCCTGGAATTGGGCATTGGCATGGAGATAGAACCCTGTACTATCTGCCTTATACCAAGTCAAGCCATTGGTCCTCCTCACTCAGTGTTGTTTGCTTTGACTTGCAGTGGCTCCCCGGGTTTCAGGCAAGAGTCATTCCCACCTGGGAAACTGCTAAGACTTGAACTTGGGTCCTTCTGTATGTGTTATACCACTGACCTATCGGCTTCCTGAGAGCTAATTCGGCAAGTCAGATTTACTGCCAATCCAAACAGATTTTCTCTATCTGGAGTACAAAGTGGCAGAGTTTCCTTGGATGAATAATGAGGGTGTACCACATTCCTCCAGATGAGCTTGGGCATGCTGCATGCATGCGGTACCCATTTTCTTACTGTAGGACATTTGAATCTGCTTAAATGAAAGAAGTTGTCTCCATGGTGTGGTGATACATTGGATTTCTGTATAATTCCTATTCTACAATTTGGGGTACTCTAATAATATCAGCTCTTCTTACATTCAGACTAACATGAAAAAACATCGCCTTTCTGTTTGCTTTGTCGAGATTCACTCATCCATCTGCCTGGCCCACTATATACAATTTCCTTTGAGTAGGTTCTCCCATAAGCACTCTATCCATTCCTTCTCCATTTGAACCACCTGGCTGCTGTGCTAGCAAATAGGTTCTTTCTTCATTTATGTTTTGGCAATGAGGGTCAAAATGTTTCCCAGGATCACCACCATATGGATCACTGCTTGCTTAAGGGAGGGAGGGGAGGAGGAAGGAAGGGAGCTGGGAAGGAGAAGTGAGGGGGGTAGGAGGAAGAAAAGATGGATTGATTGACAAGGCTAGGGGAAAGAGGGCATGAGTGATGAGTGCAGAAATGAGTTCTGGGTGCATTTGTGGGGAAAACTGCCAAAGAACTATGGATTCCCAATGCACAGAGGGCCTAATGCTATGGGACATAATGGAATCACACTGCTCAGGTTGATATAAGCACTGAGATTCTCTGAGGTTTTATTCTAAGCCATTATGAATATCAGCATCACAAACCATTACACTTTGTGTTCTCTCACTGTGGGACCCAAATGCTGAATGGAGTAGCAGCTGTTTCAAGGCTACAATTCATGTGT